CCCCAAAACCCCAAAACCCCAAAACCCCAAAACCCCTTTTAATTTTTATAATTTGAAATATTTTTATTTAATGGATTCGCGAGGTAAGTTTTATGCCAAAATTCTTATGTTAAACCAGGTCCTTCTCTAGTACCGTTCAATCCACAAAATATTGAGCCAGAGATGCCAAATCAGGTGGATCACCCACAGACCTATTGGCCGCCTATAGGCGGCCATGGCGGGGCTATGGATGATCCAGATAATCAGAATTCAGCTGCAAAATTATATTTTGACGACCACGGTAGCGAAAAAGTAGGCGAGATCTTCATATGAAACCAAGGCACCAACGGCACCTTGCAAGTACAGAAGGAATTTCTTGGCAGACAGATCACTGGCTTCGGCGGAGGCTACGACAAGATGTTCGTACTACAAGAAGGCGAAGGGTATGAAGGCACAGTGAGTCCTCTACACAATATTGGGAAGGAAGAAGTGATACAGGAGCAAACTGAAGTTATGCTTGATGGTGAAGGTGAAGGACAGACACCTGAAGGAGAAAAATATGAAGAAAATTCGAAGATTGAGGAGTTTGAAGGAGATCCTAATATCCAAGAGTATCAAAACGAACATGAGAATGATGGAGAAACTAAAATACAGAGGACAAGAGGATCAGGAAGGTCTGCTTCAGGGAATGCTGGTGAAAGAGCCAGGACTCCAGGTTCTAAATTCGAAATGGGCAATACAAGGACTTACCATGAAGGAAGTGGACATCTCAAGCAAATTGTCTCTGGCAAGAACCATATTATTCAGCTATCCAGAGATGGTTATGTCTCTTCCTATGGAAAAGATGAATTCTCTGTTTCCGGCCACGGAGGCTCTAAAATTGTTGATACTCCTCAAATTCTAAAGCATTTGTCTGACAAAAGAGTTATTCAGATAGCTTGTGGAGAAAGCCACTCAGTCATTCTCACAGATAAGAACGATGTATATACCTGGGGAAGAGGCTACGAAGGACAGCTGGGTGTGTCTAACTTAGTAGAAATAGCATCAAAGCCTAATTACGTCAAAGGGTTCTTTAAAACCCCAGTAATTTTTGTAGCTGCAGGAGCTCTCTATTCTCTTGCCATCACATATGAAAATAAACTCTATGGATGGGGAGAAGCAAGATTAGGACAGCTCGGAATCGGGACTAAGACCCGGATAGTTAAAACTCCTGTGCATATTCCAGTTGAAACTATTAGAGAAGATCCTAACTCAATGAACGGTAGCTCTTACAAAGCCGAGGATCAACATCAAGAAATTGAAGAGGCTAGAATAGTGTATTGTGCTGCTGGACTTGGCCACACATGAGCTATTTCTGATCGCAATGAACTGTACACATGGGGTTTTAATAATTGTGGACAGCTTGGGCTTGGAGATCAAATCACTAGATGGTCCCCAGTAAAGGTTTTACAAGATTCAAAGGGAAATAGAATTCCTCCTTTCAGAAAAGCTGTTTGTAGTTATTACAGTACATATGCTATCACTGAGAAAGGAAAGCTATATTCCTGGGGTAAGGGATATCTTGGACATGAAGGACAATCTATAGAATTTCTCCCAAGAAGAGTTGAGACTCTTAAAAGGTAAGCTTCTGCTTATAAATTAACTTTAGAAATTTCACAGATATCTTCTGCAATAAAGATATGTTTTCAGTATACTCACCTATTAAAGTCACATCTATTTTCCCGAACTGAGGGCCAGCACAAGGAGGCACTACAATCTCAATTGTAGGTACTGGGCTGGTCGATAGCGACAAGTTGAAAGTCAGGTTCACATTTGGAAATGTGTACAAGGAGATGTTCTGCTCATTTGAACCAGGAAACGATTCTATCTATTGCCAAACACCTTCATTTGAAGAATTTGAAGGGCAACCAAACTCTTCTTTAGAACTCCCTTGTAGATGAGTCATTTCAGTAACAACTGATGGAGTGAACTACTCAGAATGCGAGGAAGAATTCGTGATATATAACAGTATTAATGTTGAAAGTGTTCAACCGAAGTCTGGATCTGTGCAAGGAGGCACAGAACTAAAATTTGAAGTTAATAACTTAGAAGATGCTGGAGATAATCTTTCTTATTTATTAGTCGGCTTTTACCCAGCTCCTCAGAAGAGAAGAGCCAATCCTTCAAAGAGAGAGCTTATGCAATCTACTATAACTAAGAACCAAAGTATGGAAGACCAAGAAGAGAATAAAGGAAAAGGTCTCAATGCCTCTCAGCACTCTTCCATGGTTGGTAGTAATAATGCTGCGAATGATGAAACTGCTCAAAATATAGGTTCAAAGCCTCAAGATGATGATATCAATACAGGAAATTGGGTCTGTGAAGCAGGATATTACAAAGATGGCCTAATATGCTGTAAAGTACCATTCTTGGAGAAATTTGATCCCAGTAATCTGAGGTTTAATGTTGATATTGCTTTGAATGGGCAACAATTCACTGGACATCCATTAAAGTTCAGATATTATGACATCAAAATACATGAAATTGTGCCCCCAAATGGACCATCTGAAGGAGGTACGACCCTTCAATTAGTTGGAAAAGGCATGTACCATTCCTCAATCCAACGCCTACGGTTCTCGGCAGTGAACTGTAGCAGAGAAGTTGAGGCTACCTGGAACAGGAAGTCTCAATCTATCTCCTGAGTAGTTCCTCCTCTTACCTGGCTCTTTGGTGGTGAGGATGTCTCTGAAGAAGATACCAAGAAAGTCCTGGACTCTGGAGTCAAGGTAGAGTTAACCTTCAATGACCAAGAGTGGGTCGAAGTGCCTACCTTCAGATATCATAATATCTCTATCTCTCATTTAGCTTATGTAAATAATTTTGGTGAAGAGTTAGAGACTGAAGAAGAGAAGCAGAAACTCTGGCTTAGCGAAGAACCTATCGAACAGCCTCCAGCAGATGCTGAAGAAGAAGAGATCAAGAAGTGGGAAGAAGATAAGGAGAAGAGAATTACCGATGAGAAGGAAGAAACCCTTAATTCCAGTAAGAGAATTGGAGCTAAGATGTATGTACATGGCAAAAACTTTATCAAAGCAGGCAATAATTTAGTACTAAAGTTCACTCTTGATACTAAATCAGCCGAGGTGCATCCTATCTTTAAGAATAGTGAAAAACTCGCCTTTGAAGTTCCTGACATGGGAGAGGAATTCGAAGTAGGACTTCATACTGTAACCGTTGAAGCAAGTGTCAATGGACAGAATTTTACAAGTAATGGCCAGACCTTCCAATGGAACCAGATCGACAGGAACATGTCTGAGGAAGAACTCAAAAAGCTCATGGAAGCTGAAGAGAAAGCCAAGGGTAAAGGTGGAAAGAAGAAGTAAATTATTATTTGGAGATGAATAATGGGGTTTTGGGGTTTTGGGGTTTTGGGGTTTTGGGG